TTTCCCAGAACAGCCCCCAATTGTGAAGTCGACCAGGACTGGACTTGCACTAAGCCAATGCAATCACAGCCCGGTCACGCTGTTTTACGACTTCGCGAGTTCAAGCACTTGTGCAGCTACGCCTGAGTGCGTCCGGTCGGACCGCACAGCAACCTAAGAGCTACTGTACGAAACTACCGTGCTCAAAGGCACAAGCTCGGTACTTGAGCCAAAACATTGGCATTGTTACGAATTGCAAAACTACACATGCAAGGGAAAACAACACGCTGCACTAGCACTAAGCAAGCACTCCATGCATGCTTTGACCTGCTCACAATATATGTGTATATGTATATATGTGTATATGTATATGTAGAGGTATATGTATACGTATATGCATATGTATATGTATGTGTATGTGTATATGTATATGTATATGTATATGTATATGTATATGTACATGTACATGTACATGTACATGTACATGTATATGTATATGTATGTATGCATGTATGTATGCATGTATTTATGTATCTATGTATGTATGCATGTATGTATGTATGTATGTATGTATGTATGTATGTATGTATGTATGTATGTATGTATGTATGTATGTATGTATGTATGTATGTATGTATGTATGTATGTGCGTGAATATGTACATATGTATAAGCGCATATATGTAAAGACCAATCCCGGGCCTACAGGCTTATGGGTAGTTCTGAGTGGAGCTTGTGTACCACAAGCTGGCTTGTGACCACAGTTCCCTACTCACTTCGCCCCTACCCGGAGTACCCCCTTATTCCTTTTTTTGGGGTTGAGGTTCCCTTACTATCCCCTTAAAGCCAAAAAGGGCACCCTTTTTATTCCTAGCTTACTCCTGGGTCTAGTATAAGTGCCCATCCAAGTTCAGGGCTCCCGCAGTGTCTTTGGCCAGGCTTCCCAGGGGGAAGGTGAGCGAGCTCAGAAGCCACTTGGATGAGTTTACTAGAGGGGTCGGAAGAAGGACTAATCGTATTCCCTTGTGGTCCCTTTGTAGTTATACTGTAATAGTATTCTAACTATTAAGGCACCTATATAAGGCTTCGGTGCTCTGCGAAAGGAGGAGTCGACTCACCGGAACCTTGAGCCCCAAATTCAGCATCCTGAGGATTGCTGACTACTCGAAGATGCTGGAGAAGGCGCTGGAACTCCCTGAAGATCCTGAAAAGACGGCCCTAAACCCTAAACCCCAAACCCTCCGTCGGCCTCCGCCATGGGCTCAGGAGCATAGCAGCTTTGCGCTGGCGTGGCAGAAGAACGCGTTGAAGCTTCAATACCCTATAGCCTAATACCCTATAGCCTAAAGCCCACTCACTACCATCTGCTTAAGACCCCCCAAAGCCCTTCTAAGGAGGAGCATTTTTCGTTCTTTTTGGGGGTTCTTAAGCGAATCGTAGGTCAAGACCTACACCTCTTGAGTCCAGGCTTTGCAGAACCTCAATGCCTCACTGCCGCGTGAGTCTGCCGAGAAGGCATTTGCTGGGCTGGCTGGTGGGTGGGTTTAGGGTTTAGGGTTTAGGGTTTAGGGTTTAGGGTTTAGGGTTTAAGGTTTAAGGTTTAAGGTTTAGGGTTTAGGGTTTAGGGTTTAGGGTTTAGGGTTTAGGGTTTAGGGTCCGGTGAAGTTAGCCACTGAATCCGAAAGCCTACATGCCAAACCGTCACGCCCGCAGGCACAAGCACTTCTACATGGCTTTGCTACGGACAAGCCCGAGGTGGGTTTGCTTCTAGACAAAGAAACTCGGGTGTTTCAGAATAGGCAAGTCCTAGAATTGGGTAACCCTGCAAAAACACAAGTGTAGTGTAATCCCCTTAGTGGTAAGGACCCACAAAAAAGGTACCCCCAAATCCTGGGAACACTCCCAAATGAAGGGGGGATCAGATGAGAAGGTCACCCTCATAAGGTGTCACAGACATGAAGGAGCGAACAACAAACTAGCAAGTAAGAAAGGGGTCGGAGTATTTACCAAATGGTAGTATTCCCTTATGGCCCCTCTGTAGTTTATGTTACAATATCCCCGAAACCCTATTCTAACTATTCAGGCCCCTACTGACCCTAAGCCCCAAACCCCAAAACTCTGTGATGTGCTTTAAGGGCTTATGTTCTTGGTGAGTTTGCGATCTGGGGCAGGCCTTGCGATCGCCCATGCCCCCTCGGCTCCAGACCCTAAACCCTAAACCCTAAACCCTAAACCCTAAACCCTAAACCCTAAACCCTAAACCCTAAACCCTAAACCCTAAACCCTAAACCCTGAACCCTGAACCCTGAACCCTAAACCCTAAACCCTAAACTCTAAACCCTAAACCCCAAGCCCTACGTAAACCCTAAACCCTCAGCCCTCAACCCGAAGCCCATGGTAGCCTTGGCTCCAGAGACCTTCGCGGAAGCCTGTGGCAAAGAACCAGGCTCCGCCGCCCCCCCAAACTCGTGGAGCACCCGGTCTGAAGGGTTTAGGGTTTAGGGTTTAGGGTTTAGGGTTTAGGGTTTAGGGTTTAGGGTTTAGGGCTTAGAGTTTGTGATGTTTCAGGGCTTCGGGCTCTTGACCTGTGTGAGCAAAAAGAACACAGGGTGTCGAATAGCCTGAAAAACCCCAAAATCTGAACTGCAAGACCTCGCTGTTCGCCAACCATGTCCTGCGGCAACGGTTTAGGGTCTAGGGTCTAGGGTCTAGGGTCTAGGGTCTAGGGTCTAGGGTTTAGGGTTTAGGGTTTAGGGTTTAGGGTTTAGGGTTTAGGGTTTAGGGTGGCGTGTGTGGCATTCACAGCGCCATGTCGTGCTCTGTCCGGCGACTGGCGCACCTTTGCCTCGTGGCATCTCCTCAGCAGTGGAAAGCTGAGAGGCTGAAACCCTAAACCCTAAACCCTAAACTCTTAATCCTAAAGCCTAAATCCTAAAATTCAGGGTTCATACGCATATCAGGTTGAGCAAGAGTCGATCAAGTGGGCCGCTGGCTTCTGTAGAGTTCACTGCGCGGTCCTTTTACAAAAACGGTAGGTTTGCGAAATTCTGCTCAGGCTTTAGGCTTTAGGCTTTAGGCTTTAGGCTTTAGGCTTTAGGCTTTAGGCTTTAGGCTTTAGGCTTTAGGCTTTAGGCTTTAGGCTTTAGGCTTTAGGCTTTAGGCGTTAGGCTTTAGGCTTTAGGCTTTAGGCTTTAGGCTTTAGGCTTTAGGCTTTAGGCTTTAGGCTTTAGGCTTTAGGCTTTAGGCTTTAGGCTTTAGGCTTTAGCTTTAGGCTTTAGGCTTTAGGCTTTAGGCTTTAGGCTTTAGGCTTTAGGCTTTAGGCTTTAGGCTTTAGTCTTTAGGCTGTAGGCTTTAGGCTTTAGGGTTTAGGGTTTAGGGTTTAGGGTTTAGGGTTTAGGAATACGGTGCTGCCGTCCCCATATCTAAAGCCCTCTTCGGCATTGGTGGTTCTTACGGTTTTTGGGTGCAAAGATGCCCGGGAGTTGAAAGAACAGCGTGCGTGGCTTCATGTTGGGAGGCTGAAGCGACATTGGTCCCAGAGCTTGGTGTGTTCTCCGCCCAAAAGTAGCCGGGACCCTTTTTTTTGGTGAGGGGGGCGGGGATTTGCTTGTGCATCGTGAGGAGTGTAGGGATTTTCGGGGTTGTTTCGTGAGCCGAGGCATTTTTGCTTTCATCTGGCCACTGGCACACGGGCCGCTCATGGATCTCTACCGCCAGGCCTTTGCCGAGGTCCGAGGGGCTTGCAGGAGCTGTAGGCTGAGGGTTCGGGGTTTAGGGTTCAGGGGTTTGGGGTTTAGGGGTTCAGAATTTAGGGTTTACAGGTTTGGGGTTTAGGGCTCAGGGGTTCAGGGGTTTCGGTTTCGGGTCTGGTCCACGCTTTTGCTTCATTAGGACTCAGCTCGGTTTCCTCACCAAGAAAAAGAGTGCCCTAAACCCTAAACCCGAACCCCTGAACCCTAGGGTGCCCAGAACTACACCCGACAGCCACTAACACCATCGCTTGGACTTATCATGCAAGCCTAAAGAGTTGTGTTGACCTCCAGTGCCGGAATCTGCTTGGGGCACCCCTTCACTGCAAAGGATGGGGATGGGAAGTGGGAATTTAGGGCGTGCCTGCGCAAGCAGGGGGTGGGAAAAATGGACCAACCCAGCCTTCGTGGTTGTGGGGGGGTCCAAAACCCTCAAACCTAAACCCTAGACCCTAAACCCGAAACCCTAAACCCCAAACCCCAAACCCCAAACCCCAAACCCCAAACCCTAAACCCTAAACCCTAAACCCTAAACCCTAAACCCTAAACCCTAAACCCTAAACCCTAAACCCTAACCCCCCAGGTCCCTCCGCACCTCACGCCTGGCCGGGCCTTCGGTGACGTGGCCGTTGCCGGAGTCCCTCCAAAGAGCGGAGGCGGTCTTGAAGCAGCGGCCAAGCGAGTTGAGTGGATTTTGGGGTTTAGGGTTTAGGGTTTAGGGTTTAGGGTTTAGGGTTTAGGGTTTAGGGTTTAGGGTTTAGGGTTTAGGGTTTAGGGGTTAGGGTCTACAGAATGGCAGTGCCAGCTTACGGTTTGGGTTTGAAGAGTTTGGGGGGGGTTCGTTTCGTTCTTGTTGTTTGTTTGGTTGGGAGGGCTTTGGGGGAGTTTGGGGTTGAGTTGTGTAGTGGTGATTTTCTGGTCAGCTCGGTATCCCAAAACCCCAAACCCCGAAACCCCGAAACCCTAAACCCTAAACCCTGCACCCTGAACCCTGAACCCTGCACCCTAAAGCCTGAACCCTAAACCCTAAAACCTGAACCCTAAACCCTAAGACTCCGAAGTTGCCAAACTAAGGAAGGTCGACGCCTACGTCGAAGCGTTGAGTCGGGACCGGGCTGCTGTGTCGTGACATTCGTGACATAGACAAACTTTTAGGGTTTAGGGTTTAGGGTTTAGTCAGTCAGTCGGGCAGCAGAGAGACAGTCAATGTCGCGCTGAATGCAATGCACTTGCTGGCAAAGCTGAACAAAAACATGCAAACCGAGGCCGTCACATTTGGAGCCAGGAGTCAATCAGAGCCGTTCCGTTCGGAAGAAAATCTGTACACCGAACTGCCGCTCTGTCAGAGACTCTGACATCGCAAAGTACATTGGCAACATCAAATGCGACTGCGTCGAATTTCTCAAGGCTAGGCATGAGAGCTTGGACCTCCCACTGCTCGAGCTCAAAAAGCCTAGCGTACAGGCTGGCCGCATCTTCCTGCGTGAAGGGCCTGAGCGGGCCCGAAGCCCTTACAGGAGGCCAGTGAGTTGCCGGCCCAGCGTCCGGCACCCATTCATGCGCATCCGTCGGTGGAACCACCGCCAACAGAAAGGGCAGACAACCGGTGTTCGAACGTGCAAGGTGCCGCAACAATCTGTCCGAATCCCAGAAGTTCTTGAGGCAGGCCCTACATGTGGTGCAACCCCCGGTGTACTGGCGCGCGAGCTGCGAGTACTCGTGGACAGTTTGGATGTGCGCAGCAAGGTGGGATGTGGAGGGAAACACTTGATCACACATCCAGCAGGGATGTTTTGCGCCAGTAGGCACCTGTGGTGGAGGTCTAAGGCCGAGCTTTCTTGCCCTGAGCTGGAAGGTGGCCCACTGCTGCAGTTTGGCTGTGTGCTGGCGGATTGCCTGCTTCAATGCCCTCGTGACACAAGGAGCCTTGGCAGTAGCCAAGGCGAGCAACTCCTCATAACTGCCGCATGCAGCCTTAACCACTTCTGGTCTGAGGATCTCCGGTGCCCACTCGGCCACAAAGCCCAAATCCTTATGCACCTGTCTGAGCCACGCATCCTCAGACAGCTCAGCATGCATGCACAACAACTCCCAGAGAAAACGGTTGTCATCACGTACAATCCGCAGGAAGTGTCTGATCCTTTCTGCCACAAGTAATGCAGCAGGCATAGGAAGCAGGAGAGCTCCACTGAGCTCAGCAGGGCCCGGAAAATCCGGGTGATGACCCCATCTATCCTCTGGGAGCAGCATGCGATACATGGACGTGATGCCTTGGGTCCACTTTTCCAGGGCTGGGTCAGTGGGCACCCAAACCCCAGTATTGTGCGTTGCTGCCGACAGGGCGATCGAAGAGAGGATTTCGGCTCTTCCTTTCAAAGGGATCGCCTTGTTCCGTAGAACCTTTCGTGCGACAGGTGCGGCCGCCTGGATGCCATGGGCCAGTTTTACCGCAAAGTCCGCCTTGGGATTCATTGCAGTGCTGAGTACAGTGGCCAGGTGGACATAGCGTGGCACCACCGACAGAGCGAAAGGGTCATCAAGCTGGGGCACAACTCGCACCCTTGCTTCGCAGCCGCACTGCCCTTGCCAGCCCAGACGATGACGGCTTCAGTTTTGCCTCTGGAATAGTTCGGTGCAAGACTTCTGCGGAGATAAGCATCATGCATCACAGCACACACCGCTGAAAGCCTGTTGGTAAGGCCACATGCGGTCCTGGAGAAGACCGGCAAGCACACATCATCCGCCCAAGTCGGATGCTGCAGAGGCGCCGTCGCTGGGCTCTCGAGCAGCCCCGCAGCTTCCAAGGTGGTGCTGATCTCCACCATGGCGTCACACAGGACAAATGCGAACAGAATGTCAGCCATAGCATCCCCCGGCCTGGTGCCGGCCCTTGACTGGAAGGCCTGAGGCAGGCCCCTCAGGACGAAACATGACGAGTCGAACCAGGAGGCCACAACTCTTCGCACATGTGCAGGTACCCCTTGCATGAGGGAATCCCCGGTGATCCATGCCATAACCCCTCGAAAGGCGCCATCGGACACACCCAGTTGGCTAAGGATGCTGCATAGCTCTTCGTCCGACGTAGGCATGCCGGTGAGCCGTTCCCGCAACACTCGGTAGAAAGCGGATCTCGCATCCACAAACAGAAGCGCGCAGCATGCTCCTTGCTGCTTGGCCAAAAGAGCCAGAGTGATAAGGTAGTGCGTGAGCTGGTCTGAGGCACTATGTGGAGTGCTACCCTGCATCAGCCCCGGCTTGTGGGATTGCAGGGACTGAACGAGTGGAGGGCGGTGTAGCTTTCTGATGGCTTTGCCTACACCTTCCATTAGATAAATTGAGCGATGATTGGCTACATCAAAGACAGTGCCTTTGCCTTTGTAGAGAGTGGCCATCAAGCTTGTGGAAAAGCGGAGCGGTTCAGTGAGGCGCACTTGGCACTTGAGGAGTACCGGCATCCATGTGCGGGCCGCCGTCACTGTGCCTGCCAGCCAGACCTCGTTTGGCAATCCTGAGGCACCAGGACCTTTCCGTCTGGGCAGATCTCTGAGTCCACCTTCCAAGTCGAGAAGCGTAGGCACTTCGCTGAGCGTAAAGGTGTCCATGCAGGGAGAGGCCGACGCCAGGCCAGCAATTTTCTCTGGCGCCAGAGGAACGGCCGCTTCCAGATCTCCGAAGTAGCTCGCTTTCACTTCTTGAGCCTGAAAGAAGGTCTCCGCCATGCTGCCGTCGGGGCGCTCGAGCATGGGCAGCGGCCCCCAAGGCTTGTGTACACGCTTCGACGCTGGGCGGAAGAACCTAAGCGCCTGGTAGACCTCCTGGGAGTTCTTACTCAGAACTCCTTGCTCGATCTTCGCCGCGACTTCGGTGAGATAGGTGGCCCTGTCATGGCGCAGCTGGCGCCTGAGATTCAGGTTGGCCAGTTCAACCACATGTTGCCAGATGGCAGCAACCTGTCTTGCTATGCGCACCGGTCCTTCCGCGCGCGGTCTGTTGAAGAATCTGCGGAGCTGGAACTTTCGCTGGGCCATGAGGAGTTTGCGGTTGGCCGTCGCGGACTGTTTCACGGCCGTCCGCTTCTGCTTGACCAGCGTCAGGGCCTCGGCGCTAATGTGTTGTTTCTTAGGCTGCGCCGGCAAAGAAGCAGCGCCCTCCTGCAGGCACCGTCTGGCGCGGTCCAGCACAAGCTCTGCATGTTGGTGCACATTTTGCCCCCAAGGCACCTCCAACTGTGCCGCTTGGTGCATTGCCTCCGCATACATCTCTGGAGGCAGGCCCCGAAAGGTGCGCCTCGACGGCGGACACTGTACGCGACCGGCGGGGGGAACACTGCAGTTGATGATGACAGCAGTGTGATCTTCATGTGAATTGAGCAGGTCAAAGCTCCTGCCTGGAGAAGCCCATCCTCTAGCACCCCAGCCCATGGGGGTCAGGACATAATCGAGTCTGCTGTTCTTCCAGGTCTGCGCTGCGACTCCGCGCATCACATGGTGCTGCGTGTTCATCACACAGAGATCCCACTGTACTGCCAGCTCAGTCAGTAGGTCTCCAGCAGTATCCTGCTGGCCCATCCCCAAATCCCCAACAAACGGAGGCCTGGGATGCTCGATTTTGGCGTTGGCATCTCCCAACAGAACACAAGGCCACTGATCAAGGAAGGGGTTAAGAGCAACTCGGAAGTGAGCCACCATTGCTTGATCTGATGGGGAGAGCACAGGCTATGCGGCCCTCGAAAGGAGACAAACATTGCCTTACAGCTTGGATGCTGGCACGCCACTGCCAGCAGGGTGGGCTCCTGTACGAGCACAAACAAATGCTCCGGGCATAGAGGCACACTACCTGTTTTGGGCCCCCAAGCAATCCCCGAATTAAACCAAAGGGCAACCCCGTCAAACCCTTTATTGGCTCCCGCTTGAAAGGTGATCCACTTGCCAGGAACGTGGCCACCCTTGCATCGGGTCTCCTGAAAGGCCATGACATGAATGCCCAACTCCGAACCCTGCTGTTTGAAGGCCGCAATTTTGCCCACAAGAGTGCAGACATTGGCCGACAGAAACTTCAGCTGGCAGGGCTGGGAAGACACCTTATCAGTGCATTCAACATCCTTCAGAATGACCGCTAGATCATCAGGGCTGGGCTTGTCGGGCTTCTCATACTGGCCGCGTGCCATGTCATCAAGGCTTGGCAGTGTGGCATGGTTGTGTGTCATCCAGGCCCAAGGCAACAGCTTGTGACGGACAATTGCATAAACACAGGGCGCCAGGGCAGTGCGGATTTTGCCGGTGCGTCCAGCATCAGCAACCCGATCCGCGATCTCATTCCAAACACAGCCTGCATGACCTTTGACCCAGTGATGGGCCAACGGCTTGCCCATCTCTTGCAGCACCTGGGTCACGTATCTGAGAGCCTTGTGCACCTGCGACGCCGGTCCTTCTGCAGGCTCAACTGGGGCCGACCACCCTGCTGCCTCACCGATCGCAATTTTGGAGTCCCCGTGTAGATGCAAGGGGACAGGTCCCGTGGACAAGGCAAAAAGTGTGGCCATCAAAAGCCCTTGTGCCTCGGCTGCGTTGTTTGTGTGATCGGCATCACAACTATGTGCGAAAAGCAGGCCCGTCGAACCTCCTGCAACCCCCACCAAGGAGAAAGGCATTTCCCCTTGATGGTCATGCTGGGCACAAAGAACAGCTCCCCATCCTCCTTTCCCTGCCTTGCTGGAGCCATCCGTGAAGACATGAAAAGCAGTGATCGGTGGCCCATGAGCCTGCACTTTGGTGACATTTTTCAGAAGAACAGCAGGAACAATGTCTTCGGGCTTCCCCCAGAAATTCCTCCAAGGAATGGACAGAGCTTGCAGGCAGGCACGAATGCCGGCAACCCCTTCGAAGGGGGGAGGGCAAGCCTCAGCTAGGCTCAGAGGAGAGCTCTTTTGGCATCGAACGAGTGGGACCTTTCGTCTTCCCCCGGGAGTGGGGATGCTGGCAAAGGTCGCAGCAGGCGCCGGCAATTCGCTTCTGGCTTGGACTTCCTCTTGACGGTTTTCATTTGCCTCGACAAAGCTGGTCTGGTTCTCCTGTTCACCTATGCTACTCGCATTGGCAGCAGGTTCCTGTTCTTCCTTTGATGGAGGGGTGCTGGGCACAGGTGGCGTAGGTGGTCTAACCAACATGAACATGTGCTGTAGGTCGGCAAGATGCTGATCAAGTGGATTTCGCAGGGTTTGCCTGGCAGACCTAAGGATCAACCGCCCTCTATCCATCGCATCAACAAATGCTTCCCCAACCCCCTCACATCTATCATAGCTGGGATCAATCCTGCTCAGTGACTCCCCAATGGCAAACCACCGTGATTCTGGAGCCACATTGATGGTGCAGATGCCTTTGCCAATGGATCGGCAGTCAATCGGTACTGCTAGGTGATGTGCCGGGGCATCAAGGAAAGTCAACACAAATTGAGGGGTGGGATATCCGAAGACTGGCTCATCCAATCTCTGAATGCTTCGGATAGGGCGATGTGTGCTGCGGATTAGATCCGCCAACAACCATTCAACCCTTTGATGCCCTCTATAATTTCTTATCCTCGTTTGCAGGCTGGCATCAAAAACCGTATAGCGGAGGTGGTCCTCACCTAGTGCAGTCTCTGGTGTAACACTGGCTGTTGCCAAGAAGAACCTGTCTGTGATGAGTGCAAGATCTTCCGGCAGGAGAGCAACATCGAATGCTGTCCGGCTATGCCAGTGGTGCGCCTTGCATCCCGCAAAAGGGCCGGCCCGCAACACATCCTGCGGTCCCAAGTCACCCTCTGGCTGTTGCACAATGTCCTTGACTTCTTGCCAGCACAGGGCCGCTCTGGCAGGACTAGCAGTCCGCTCTATTTCTTGGCATGGCTGAACCCTACTCTTCCTGGTGGAAGAGATTTGGACCATGGACGTGCCGTCTTGCAAGGAGAGCCGCCGGAAAGCATGCACTTGGCCGTGCTCTGGCGTGGCAGATCCAACACTGAGATGGCTGGGAGCCGGAAGCTCTCTAAACCGGGCAAAGGTGTCTGCCTCCCCCTGCCATAGCAAGTAGGTCTGGAGCAAGAAGGGAACCGGAATCAGATGCCAGGTTTGCCGTGCCTCAAAAGGGTCTCGTGCCATGAACATCGACGCATCATTGGCCATACTGCGCGTGTCTAGCACGTCAGTGGCCACATTCCACTCCGGAACAAGTCTCAATGCTGTGCACACCTGGTTGTGAGTGGCCGGCAACCTCCCTTCCACACAGATCATGATCTCCCCACGCACCCTGCTATACACAATCGCCTGTTTGGCGACGGCGAGTCGATATCCTAGCATGGTGGCTCTCGCATCGAGTGCATCTTCAATCGCCTGCGCAACAGTCCCCAAGGCCGGCAACTGATTCCGCAGGACTGGGCTGAGGTCCGGCAAAATGATGTCAACGGCCAGCAGGCCCAAGTTCGGCCAGCTACGGAAGACGGCGGATCTTGGCAAAGCTGGTATGTTGGGGACACTCCACTCGACCGAGACATAATCTCCGTCTTGCAACGGGCCGCTCATGAGCGCCGCTGGCACCCCATTCACAAACACATGCGCGCCGCGCGAGAGCAGGTCCTCTTCAACAAGGTCGCTCGGACCACGATCCGAATCAGTTTCGACACATCTAAGTTGGACCCCTACGGATCTGGCGTCGACCACCACATAGAGGTGAAATTCTAGAGGGTGCCAGATCAGCACAATTTCCCTCTGGCCATTCAAAACCCCAGGGTGTGCCATGGCCATCCGGATGTTGCCCTGCCTGTAGGCTCTATTATGTGCAAGGTGATGCAAAATGAGCTCAGTGAGTTTTGCTGTCAGGTAGGCTTGATCCGTCTGCTGTAGACTGACAGTGGCACAGTGTCGTTCCATGACCAGGTGGAGAACCGGTACCCCTGGAGCAACGAGCATGTTGGTCGTGGAGGTCGTGGTTGGCTGGACCTCTGAAGTGGCTGGTGCCTCCACAGTATGAGCCTCAAGCCATTGCAAAGCAGCGCTCCGCTCGTGGACCGCTACAGTATGCTCAATTAGGAACCTGACCCTCCTAACCCTGAAGTTGCCCCAACGGCGAGTGCATACGGGCACAACCTCTTGTCTTGCGACAGGCTCACTCCCCTCAGTTGGGGCAGAAGCAGCAGCGGGTTGCCCTTCGCCAACTGTGACCATTGAGCATAAGTCGGCGGGAGGGAAAAAGGGGGCATACCATGCGCGCCCAGGGACAGGTCGGCTCCAGGCATCATCAACAGGGGCAAGTCTGCGCAACGTGTCTGGCAGGACAGAGTGGGGGAGTTTGAAGACAATGACACTCTGATCAGTGACTTCCACCCTGAAGTACATTTCATGCGGATCGAGACTACTGCCCGAGGCAATGTAAACCTGTCTAGAACCAACCTGGCCTTGCGTTTGGTAGAGTTGCACCGGGCCAAAAGCTGGAACAATCCACTGCGAAACCCACGCTGCAACGTCAGGCATGCTTGTAGGGCGGCCAGATGGCGCAAGCACAGTGAAGCATTCCCCGGCAATAACCACCCCTCTTACATCCCCAACAAAACCCATGTTCCTGAGCCGGTGGTCCAGCGTGTTCTCCCAGACCGTAAGTGCATCGGACCTGAGATGTTCAGCATCGGCCTCGGTCTGTTGAGGCAGATCCGCAGGGACAAAGAACGGGATTGCAAGGGCTTCAAGGCCTCTTATTCTTCCGTAGAAGAAGTCAACAGATCGGACATCAGGAGCATGCGACGTGATGCTGAAGGCAATGTATGCTCCACCATATACACTGCATGCATCCTCCCACTTTCGCCCATTAAGGAACACATGTTTGTATTGCCTTGGGAGGTCCGTAATGCAACTTGCGTCCGCAAAGATCGGAACCTGTTGGAAGCTGAGAACGCCACTCGGCCTGAGATCAACCCATACGCCTGCAGTGTCCCTGTTGGAGCTCAACTCCATGGAAATGAGGAGCTCTCTGGCAGCAACAGTTGCAGGCGGGTGGACATGGGCAACTCGGACAATGAGCGAATCACTCACAGCATGCTGCTGCAAAACTCGTGTCCACATGCTCGCCAAAATCTCAGCCATGGATGGGTCACCTTCGAAATCCTGCTGGAACAACCCAGTCCCTTGAATACCCAACCAGACCCTAAGAGGGTTCCGGGGCACAAGCCTAAGTCTCTCTCTCAGCGGGTCTTCCACCTCGAAGGGCGTGGTGGTGGTGGAGGAGGTGGTCCTCATGGTCCGGCTCGCAGCCAGTGCCCAATCACTTGCCCCAAAGAAGCGGGTCATGGTAAGCAGTCCTGGAAAGTGCCCGGCGACATCAAAGGAGTCCATCACAGCATGCTGTCCCTCGTGTGCAGGAACGACAAGACCCCCATTACCTGCTTTGGTGACAAAGAATTCAACCGGGGGTTCCGCAAGGGCGAGCTGAAACAATTGATCAACCGTCGCATTGACAATGTTTTCCTGCATGGAGGC